TCCAAAGAACCTTATAACTCTATAAAGAACCTTTTGTGCAATGGAAATTGTGCAATTCACTTTGTGTGAGAATCAAACTATATTAAAGTTGCACTTACAATCTGACATTTGTTTTGTCTTAAATTTTGATGCCGTGATGATCTGAAGTTCCAGTTGTGATCTCCACAGGGGTTCGTTTGAGGTGACACAGTGTGGTTTGGCGTAAACGAAGGGGTTTAAAGGACCAAAATATCTAATCTATCTGAAAAGCAGCATTATGTGATTAGTGTTTGTAAAACGATTGGAGAAGCACTAGATTTTGGGATGCAGTCCAGTTAGGGTGGACGCGCTGTCCAGCTCAGTTCAGTTCTCTTCCAATAGTGTCTGTGCAGTCAAGTCAACAATGTTGCCAGAAATTGTGTCCCCAACTAAGCAAGTCAAAGGCAACAGTGGCAAGGAACCAAAACTCCATCGGTGACAGAAAGGCAGAAAAAAAACCTTGGGAGAAACCAGGCTCAGTTGGGGGGCCAGTTCTTCTCTGGCCAGACAAAACCAGCATGCTGTGGTTTTATTCCAGGCTGCAACGCAAGTCAGATTGAGCAGAGGACTCGTCTGGTTCTCGTGGTCTTGTGCCGATGGCCTTTGAACCTTTAACTCGTCTGGTTTAAATGGGGTTTTAAGCACTTTTCAGTTAGTCAGGCTGTCAAACCAGCTGGTTGTCCAATTAAACCAAGTAAATCCCATCTCATGAGAAAACAGAACTATTTCATGAGGTGGCGATTTTGTATGAATTTAAGAAAAAAGAAAGGTCCACTATTTAGGTTATGTTATCTTACTTTTTTTTTTTTAGTGTTGAACATTTGAAGACCAGCTTAAACCAGATCATTTAAACCAGGAAGCAATCAAAATCAACAAAAGAGCAAGTGCTATAACAAGTCTCAGTTAGCCTAACACAGTACATTTAGCAAGTTTTTTTTTTATTATGTAGTAAATAAAAAGAAAACAGATAGAATAGAAAAAGAATAGAGCAAGCTAGTGTTAGAGGCCTTTTTTGCTTTTTGTTATTTATATAATAAATAAAAAGAAAACAAACAGATAGAATACAAAAAGAATAGAGAAGCTAGTGTTAGTTTTTTTTTAAGGAAAACAAGCAGTTGAATAGAGTGCATTTTTTAAAGAATAGAATTAGAATAGAGAGTGCTAGAGTTAGAGGGTCAAATAAAGATGGAAGAGATGTGTTTTTAAGCCGATTCTTGAAGATCGCTCGGATTGAGTTGGGCAGGTCATTCCACCAGGAGGGAACATTTAATGTAAAAGTCTGTGAAAGTGATTTTGTGCCTCTTTGGGATGCCACTTTAATGCGTCGTTCACTAATGCGCCGAACGCAAGCTTCTAGAGGGCACAAGTCTGAAGTAGCCTAATGAAAGGGGTGCAGAGCCAGTGGTGGTTTTGTAGACTAACTTTAATGCCATAAACACAATACTATAAATAGAAACGTTCAAACTCCTGAACTCAAGTAACCCATGATGTCCTTTACATCCCTATAGGGTTACCACTGGAATGAGCTTTCGAGCGAAAACGACGGGAAATGGGAGCTTATCCTGTACGTCATCCTCCCACTCGTCACGCTCCTTGTGTTCGGTGTTAGCTAGTGTTAGAGGCCTTTTTTGCTTTTTGTTATTTATATAATAAATAAAAAGAAAACAAACAGATAGAATACAAAAAGAATAGAGAAGCTAGTGTTAGTTTTTTTTTAAGGAAAACAAGCAGTTGAATAGAGTGCATTTTTTAAAGAATAGAATTAGAATAGAGAGTGCTAGAGTTAGAGGGTCAAATAAAGATGGAAGAGATGTGTTTTTAAGCCGATTCTTGAAGATCGCTCGGATTGAGTTGGGCAGGTCATTCCACCAGGAGGGAACATTTAATGTAAAAGTCTGTGAAAGTGATTTTGTGCCTCTTTGGGATGCCACTTTAATGCGTCGTTCACTAATGCGCCGAACGCAAGCTTCTAGAGGGCACAAGTCTGAAGTAGCCTAATGAAAGGGGTGCAGAGCCAGTGGTGGTTTTGTAGACTAACTTTAATGCCATAAACACAATACTATAAATAGAAACGTTCAAACTCCTGAACTCAAGTAACCCATGATGTCCTTTACATCCCTATAGGGTTACCACTGGAATGAGCTTTCGAGCGAAAACGACGGGAAATGGGAGCTTATCCTGTACGTCATCCTCCCGCTCGTCACGCTCCTTGTGTTCGGTGTTGCGTTTGTCCTTCTTTACCGAAGGTTCAGGCAGAACAAGCTCGGACTGGCCAGCATCATCGCGCTGGACCTGCAGGACCTGGAGCGCAACGCCGAGATTCTGTCGTCGCTCACCGGGAAAGCGGAGCGGCTGAACAGCACGAGCTCGGACATGTCTGACGGGGTTTTCCTCATGGTTTACCTCCCGTCGCCCTACGAGGACACGCTGACGAAGATAACGCGGGCCGCTAGCCTCAGCAGCGGGAAAGACGTCGAGTCCATCAAGATCGAAGACCTTGAAGCCAAACTGTGTCCTGAGCTTAAGTTCAGCGGGGAGTTTGTCTGAGACAGAAGTACTAAAGAGACACTGGGGCTAGTTGTCACAAAGCCCTGCTGGAAAACAAACAAACAATAGAACCATCACTAAAAATTCTTATGGTGTCCACTAAAAATACCATTACAGACATTACAAACCATCAACTTTTAACCATTAAAAATGGTTTCCTGTAGTGTGTTTTGGGACATGTTCCATTAGGATTTATTGGTTTTAACAAGCCACCAATAGAAGGTGACCAATTACCAGAAGAGATGCACATGGTCCAGTACAGTTTCCATTAAAATCAATACAATTCCCATTATAACCAGTAAAACCGTTACACATTTTGTGACGGTGTCTATTGTTTTTTTCAGCAGGGAGTGAAGATGACACAAGGGCTATCTCAGTTTTTTGTTGTCTTGTTGTCTGTTGGTTGAATTCTAATCTACAAAACTAAAATAACAGAGAAAAAACTTCAGAGTGCCTGACTTTCTAAAATAAACCTAGAGTGAGAAATACTCATTTGAGTAAAAAGTGTGACAACTAGACCCGGCCCCCATCTCATCATCTGATTCTGAACTGAATTTTGCTGGGATTTTTATACTGTAACATAATAAAGCTGTATAGAATTAAACATCTTGATATTCATATTAGTTTTGCATTACAACAATGTATTGTGTACTACATCGACATGAGAGTAAATCTTTGTGCTTGTATTTACAGTAGGCCAAGTAATCACCATGTGTTTTACTTTGAAATACTGCCTAGTTAGTTGCACTTTGTGTTGTACCACAATTTTTTACTACACTCTAAAAAATGCTGGGTTAAAAAGGGACAAACACAGCTATTGGGTTGTTTTGACCCAGCTGTTGGGTTGTTTTGACCCAGCTATTGGGTTGTTTTGACCCAGCGGTTGGGTTGTTTTGACCCAGCGGTTGGGCTGTTTTGACCCAGCTATTGGGTTGTTTTGACCCAGCGGTTGGGTTGTTTTGACCCAGCGGTTGGGCTGTTTTGACCCAGCTATTGGGTTGTTTTGACCCAGCGGTTGGGTTGTTTTGACCCAGCGGTTGGGCTGTTTTGACCCAGCTATTGGGTTGTTTTGACCCAGCGGTTGGGTTGTTTTGACCCAGCGGTTGGGCTGTTTTGACCCAGCTATTGGGTTGTTTTGACCCAGCGGTTGGGTTGTTTTGACCCAGCGGTTGGGCTGTTTTGACCCAGCTATTGGGTTGTTTTGACCCAGCGGTTGGGTTGTTTTGACCCAGCGGTTGGGCTGTTTTGACCCAGCTATTGGGTTGTTTTGACCCAGCGGTTGGGTTGTTTTGACCCAGCGGTTGGGCTGTTTTGACCCAGCTATTGGGTTGTTTTGACCCAGCGGTTGGGTTGTTTTGACCCAGCGGTTGGGCTGTTTTGACCCAGCTATTGGGTTGTTTTGACCCAGCTATTGGGTTGTTTTGACTCAGCGGTTAGGTTGTTTTGAACCCAACCGCTGGGTCAAAACAACTCAGTAGCTGGGTTTGTCCCTTTTTAACCCAGCGCTGGGTTATATTCAACCCAGCATTTTTTAGAGTGTAGAGACAACAACAGTAGGCCTATTATGTCACTTTTTATATCTGTAAGACTGCATCAGTCCTTGTTTGCATTTAAATATAAAAAACAATCCTGGCAGGTTTTGCATTATCATGTAGTCATCTAAACCATTTCTAATAAAGACCATATTAAAGACTGCTAAGTGTCACTGAATGTTTTGCCCACATGCAGTTTTTCATGCAATATTGCCGAAAGTCACTTCGCATATTGCCTTAATACTTAATGTAGATCAGATTATAGATTAAGGTACATTGAAAAAAAGAAAAGAAATTACAATAGCATATGTAACTATATTATTATTGCTATTATAAATAATAAAATCAGGAATCTACACCCAGAAGGTCCTCTTGCTTTCAGTCTCCGAAAAAAAGGTACAAAAGCTGTCTCTGGGGCAGTACCCTTTCAAAATATGTACACTTTAGGTTACTGCCCCAGTGACAGCTTTTGTATCTTTATCTGAGTGTTTGTTGAAAAAAAATCGTGCTCGAGATTTTTAGGTAATTTTAGGTAATATTTGTAGTGCCAGAAAAACAAAACAGCTGCTGCATGTACATGTAAAAAATTGTTATTTAGTTGTTCTGACTATACATTTCTCAGTTACTTTACAGCCTGTTGTTTATCTCAGTACACAATAATCAAGCGTGTGCTATAATGACCTCAGCGCCACAATCCGTTTGTTAACAAGCACGTCATCTAGTGGATGTTATATGTACTTAGTATTTTGCCTGTACTGAATACTGCCTAGTACATTTAGTCTTTGTTTTCCATCCGATTTGGATTGCCTTTGGCAATAAAATGGACATAAACATTCAACGCGAAACGTTCAACATCAGACTGCAGAGACACACAGGCCTTAATTAAATTCATGAGCACAACACTGCTTTTCAAATGGCTTTAATGACTCATACAAGTACAAAACACAAGCTACTTGTGCTTGAATTTTGTTGTCTTGCAAGAAAGCTACGAATATAAATGCACATAAATGCAAAAGTAAAGCAGGGTGCTAATAGAGGTCAGGACTTTAGGGCGTTTGACAGTCGGCAAAGTAGGAAGTGGCCTTCATGGTCATACACTCTGGCTGGTGGATCAGCGAGATCCTGTCAAAGGAAAATAGGAAACATGAAAATATTATTTAAATTTAAAAAAATTTTTTTTTTTTAGAAAAGCTGATTTAGTCAAGCCAGTGATATTAGCTATTGCAGTGATCTCAATACCAATTTTTTAACATACTGTACTTGCATGCAAACACATTGAATTCGTGTTTTCCATTAATTGCTGTATTGAATTAGTTCTTGTTTCATTCACTTACATTTCATGGATGTGTCTAGCAGTTTTGGGGTCAGGAATCGGTGAAGTTCTGTTATAGTCAGATAAACACAATATCAGGACACTTGCACTCACCTGCTTTATGAGGATTCACTACTAATATAATTTCTACATCATGGAATAAATATTAATACTACAGTCTGCAAAATTAATGAATTAATACATATACAAACAATGATGTATAATGTTATAGCACAGTTAATTAAATCATACTGCACTGGATAATATATGATAATATCATTTTCTGAAGTTTGTGTGTTCTACTCAGTTACTCACACTGCATTTATAAGGGCCTGGACACAGGCTATGTCATCACTGGTGTTATCGTCAATCAGCTCTGAAAAGGAGAACAATCACATTTAATTTTAGAGAAAATGTATGCATATAAAAAAGTCTCTTCTGCTCACCAAGGTCGCATATATTTGATCAGATATACAGTAAAACAGAAATATTCTGAAATAATATTACAATTTAAAATAACTGTTTTCTATGTGAATATATTGTAAAATGTAATTTATTCCTGTAATGCAAAGCTGAATTTTCAGCATCACTACTCCAGTCTTCAGTGTCACATGATCCTTCAGAAATCAGTATAATATGCTGATTTGCTGCTCAAGAAACATCTTGAAAAAACAGCTGTGCCGCTTAATAGTTTTGTAGAAAACATACTCTTTTAAAGGATTCTTCGATGAACAAAACGTTCAAAAGAACAGCATTTATTATCATAGAAATCTTTTGTAACATTATACATTTATTTACTGTCACTTGTGATCAATATAATGCATCCTTGCAGAATAGAAGTATTCATTTCTTTCACAAGAACCCCAAACTGGTTCTGATCACCCTGTCGTGGGTTATTTTGCCGTATCGACCAGTGCATCATCTCTTTCATATTAAATATACTCACTGTCGCAGGACAGTCTGCAGAGGTTCAGTGCACGACTTTGAGCAGAGTTGCACACCACATGGTCGCTAAGCTGGAACAAGCCGTACAGGGTCCAGACCTCATCGTTGTCCCCATCACTTTCATTACTGGAAGAGCCACCTTCACTTTTTCCTCCGGGAGACCTACCACGGCGAGGACCGGGACCTCTACGGGGCTCTTGTGGCTCAGCGATCGTCTTAATGGCGCTGGTATTGAAGCCAGAGGTCAGCTGGACGTGACACACGACTGTAAAGAGAGTTTTCGTTCATTTCAGTCATTTTTGTAGAATATTCTATTCCATACAACTTAAACCGAACCTTTCAGTGAACAGTTCTTAAAATAGCCATTTAATTTTCTTACCATGAAGAACATATTTAAAAAAAATTTAAAACCTTCTTCCACTATAAATAACCTTTTATGGAATGGAAAGATTTCATGGACATTAAATGTTCTTCATGGAACACTCAGTGCCAAAAAAGAACCTTTACGTTTACGAGTGTGTGAGAAAAAAATGACTATATGTTCACCTGCAAACTACTTGAACAGTACATGAATCTACACAGAAGCAGTGATCGGTATCTAAAGCTCGGGATGTAAACAGAGACTCACTCTTTGCCAGCACGTCTGCAGAATTGGGGATTTGCAGTGTCAGGCCTCTTTCAAGCTGCTGCTTCAGCTCACATTTACTCAAAATCACTCCGTCACTCACGCCGAGCGCTAGAAATAAAACAACCACAACTGCCAACATCTTCACGTCTGGATGAATTATCACGATTTCTGTGTGTTCCTCTTACAGGGAATCATTGCAAGTTGAGTGTAGATATAGAGCCACCTGTTCCCCTGAGAGAGGCCATCTATATGTCAGTGGATTATGTGAAATAAGAGTTTGAAAGGTTGTGTGTCAGTGTGTAGGAGGATTTAAGGCACTTTGTGTTCTGTATGAAATGTTTAGGCTTGGTTTCAGTGCTTCTGGGTTGCACAGATTAACTAGGGAAAACACAATGAAGTAAAGTACATCTTTTCAGAGTCCCGTCTGAAGAATCGTCTTTGTCAGCAAGGATCGGATGTCATGTATAGATTATGTGACGCCTCTAGACGACAGCAAGAAAGACCTGGAAAGACTGACTGGTACACGAGACAATGCTGGGTGGACCTCTGAATTTAGGTTCAATAAAAATCTAATAAATTTTGGGAGGGAAAGCATTTTGTTGTAATACAATGATGCAAGCAAAATGTGAATTTGCTTTGTTCTGAATCATCATGACTAGTTTGTTTGTCACCATGCAGGGTGGAAAGCGTGCCAATGCATATAGGTCAGGAAGTTTGGGATTAAAACTAGTACACATATTATAGAAACACTTGTCAAACCTTACCATGATATAGGTGCATATTAGAGACCAGGATAATGTGCAAATAAATAAAAATGTATGACCACTGTTTGCACAGTAATATTTTTTGTATGAAATTATTAGTGAATAAAGAATCTAGGCCTATATGCTCATGCAAAATGCTAGCACATAAATTTGCTCTGAAATGTTGATTAATCCAAATTATCAATAAGTATGCAGATTTTAATAAGGGAGCACGTGCACACAGCTAGTAAAATGCATTTCAAATTCATTTCAAAACGAACTTTCCGTTCAACTTTAACGCAACCTCCTTTTCTCGCACGCGTGGGCTTTCCGACTGAGCACATGCGCAGAAAGATGCATTGCATGTCAAAGTGGCTTAAAGGGGTCATATGATGCGATTTCAATTTTTCCTTTCTCTTTGGAGTGTTACAAGCTCTTGGTGCATAAAGAAGATCTGTAAAGTTGCAAAGACTAAAGTCTCAAATCCAAAGAGATATTCTTTATAAAAGTTAAGAGTTAACCACGTCCTCCTAAAACGTCTCGTTCTAACACGCCCCCACATATCTACCTCACTATTTGGGAAGATTTGCATAACGTCGCCCAAATGTTCACTCAAAGAAAGAAGGCTTAACTTTTATTCTCGCTGTAGTATTGTTGTTGCCGCCGCCATGTCGTGAAGGCACTGTGTGTTTCATTGTGAAAGCGAAACTACTTTGTTTGGTCTTCCAAAAGAGGACGATATCTGCTTCGTCATGCCTGGAGCTGATTCGTGCTGGTCGCTGAGGAAATACATCAACTTTGCGCTGTGGTTCACCGGATCGGCTTTCACCGTGTACGAAGCGGAGTCCAGCCCGGGGTCGTCACTTGTGGTTGCCGCAAGCCTCCTTCGTTGAATTCGCCGGCCGCGCTGTTCTCAAGCCCGCCGCCTATGCTCACTCTAGCCCCCAGCCTCTGCTCACTGTAGGCCACCGTGTGTGACGCTGTGTTTCGTTGTGAAAGCGAAACTACTTTGTTTGGCCTTCCAAAAATGGACACGACTAGAAATCAGTGGTTAAGTTGTATTTACAACACTGTTCCAGAACACGTCAACCCAAATATTCGGATGTGTCCAGCACATTTTATGGAGGACTGTAGGCGGGGCATAGAGGAGAAACAATAATGTACAGTATGTGGAAAATAATGTGTTTTTTTAACCTTAAACCGCATAAACACATTTAATTACACCAAATACACAAAATAATGTGACTCCTTTAACAGAGTACTTTGTCATCAGGCGTATGTGGTTCTTGCATACACATGGATTTATTTTATTGCGGGGGCATAGCCATCATTTCAAAAGTGAGGTGGACAGAAATGTAAAATGTAGCCTACTAATACTTTTTTCGTTTTAATTGACAAGTTTTATTTTTCTCTTATTTCTTATTTTTAATTGTCTAAGAAATAAAATACACTGCTAGACAATAAGCAGTGATTTGTATTTTATAATATTTTTCTTATATTTTCCTAATGACAATTTTATGATTTGTTTATATAACATTTTTTTTCCATTTTTATCACAGAAGGCGGCAGAATAGTTTCTAGTTACTATCCTGTCTCTTTGATTGTAAATCTAGATTTATTCACACTGGCCCTTGAAAACCTCTATGTGAACACACTTTCCCCCCGCGTATTTTACACCCATGTTTTATTGTAAAGGTTTTAGTTTAAAATTATCAATCATTTTCATACATAAATGTTAAGTACAAATATGTGCAAATGCGCTGAATGAAAAAATAGTTAAGTTACATATTTTAGTTTTATAGAATGGCAAATGTCTTTAATTTTGTTCTGCATTTATTGAAATGAAATGAAACATGAAACAACCTACTATACAATCAGAAGATTCCAACATAGGCTACCATATGATTATGTCACAGAAGAACCCAAAACTGAAATCCACAAGCTTACTTACATTATAAGTGGATGTCAGGGCAATAAATAAATCAATAAAATACAGTGTAAGATATGAGCCCTTTCACCATTCAGGAATTACTATTGGTTTATTCTATTCTCCAGCAGGTGAGGTGGTTGGAAACTGAGATGAGTCTTGAAGTTGAGATTGTTCTGGAGCCTTTGGTGGAGCTTAATTGTGGAAGACAGGGTGGGGCTTGTGGGGAGGTTTGTGGGAGGGCCTGTTGTGGGGCTTGTGGGGTCTTCTGGTGGAGGTGGGGCTTGAGGTGGAGGCTGCAGTGGGAATTATGGTCGAGGACAGCGTGGAACTTGAGGTTGAGGTTGTGGTGGGGCTTGAGGTTCCGGTGGAGGTTGTAGTTGGGCTTTTGGTGGAAGTTGAGGATGAGGTGGAGGTTGTGGTCGGGCTTGAGTTTGAGGTTCCTGTGGAGGTTGTAGTTGGGCTTGTAGTGGAAGTTGAGGTTTCGGTGGAGGTTGTGGTCGGGCTTGAGTTTGAGGCTCCGGTGGAGGTTGTAGTTGGGCTTGTGGTGGAAGTTGAGGTTTCGGTGGAGGTTGTAGTTGGACTTGTGGTGGAAGTTGAGGATGAGGTGGAGGTTGTGGTCGGGCTTGAGTTTGAGGTTTTGGTGGAGGTTGTAGTTGGACTTGTGGTGGAAGTTGAGGTTTCGGTGGAGGTTGTGTTCGGGCTCGAGTTTGAGGTTCCAGTGGAGGTTGTAGTTTGGCTTGTGGTGGAAGTTGAGGTTTCGGTGGAGGTTGTGGTTGGGCTTGAGTTTGAGGTTTCGGTGTAGGTTGGAGTTGGACTTGTGGTGGAAGTTGAGGTTGAGGTGGATATTGTGGTCGGGCTTGAGTTTGAGGCTGAGGTGGAGGTGGAGGTTGTAGTTGGGCTTGTGGTGGAAGTTGAGGTTGAGGTGGAGGTTGTAGTTGTAGTTGGACTTGTGGTGGAAGTTGAGGTTTCGGTGGAGGTTGTAGTTGGACTTGTGGTGGAAGTTGAGGTTGAGGTGGAGGTTGTAGTTGTAGTTGGACTTGTGGTGGAAATTGAGGTTTAACAAACTGTTTTGCCAGTTTAAAACAATGCAATGCAGTGCATTTTTGATTACCTGACTATGAAATGTATATAATTCACAATCAAAACCCAAACCATGGCGTTTTGTATTCAGGACCGGAACAGGTTTTGCAACCTTATGACGTCATATTGGTTACAAACAATTATTTAGCTAATCTGGATTAAGTAAAAAATTAAGAAAAAATCATAAGAAAAAACAATGAATACCGTGTGTTACAATCAAAACAAAACAAAAATACTTAACATAAGCATAATTTTTTCTTTGTGATCGGAAACAAAAGTAAGTAATAAAGCCATGTTTATTTGTATTATTTGTAATTTAGTAAGGAGGATTTAAACTGTGAAAAATATGATTTAACATTACATTATCGTCATGTTTTTATTTTTGTACTTATCTAAGTATTACTGACTCATTACAAGATTAGAATAAAATATACTCGACCACAGTTATAGAGATAATAGCACTTAAAAAAATAAAAAAATAAAGATATTAAAATATAGTTTTGGCTGTATCATTTTAAAAATGGATGAGCTGTACTTGTGAAGAATACTTGAAACCACTGCACGTCAACACATAACAAGAAACTGGAAACTCTTTGACCATATGAAAACCAATTAGATTTTATTATTATTATTTATTATTATATAACATGTATTGTCATGCATCTCTAATCTGGTTCAGATCATTCTTCTTGTAGTTTAGAGGTGCCACATAACCTGTACATGACATCCGATCCCCACTGAGACAAAGACACCTCTTTTGATTTGTTCTGCAAAACCATTAGTGTATTTTACTCTGTTTATCGAACCTGCTCTGTCACCCAGAAACCAAACCACAACATTTTGTTCTGATCATAAAGTGGCATAAAACCACCTACATACTGACATACAACAACCTCAAACTGTTTCATTCCACACAAGTCATCAACACAAAGATGCCCCTCAGAGGAACAGGTGAGGCTTAGTGTTTTACGCTGTACTGAAGCCAGATTTGTTCACATTTGTGTAGCTGCACAAACCAATGGCGCTTTAGCCCGCCAGAAAGGGCGGAGCCGACCCTTATGTAAGTCGGCTTCATCAGATCATTCGAATGAAGTGACAGTCATCGATTCGCGTGCAGCATATAGCGCGGCAAGTGATGCAACGCTCATTCCCTTATCTCAGGGAACCAAGGTTACGTCAGTAACTGAAGCGTTCCCTTTCGAACGGTCTCTCCCGTTGCGTGAGACGCTAAGGGGAATGCATCCAATCACGCCGCGCTATGAGCAGATACAGGACATCTGCTCTGCGAGTCCAGTCTCGGAGCACTAATAAGGACCCCTGAGAACATGAGCACATTGTGCCCCAAGCTAGTAGCTGAGAAGCACTAATATAACCAGATACGCCCAAGAGGGAAGAATGGTACATTAAACTGAAAGAACTC